TTATTATACAGTTAATGTTTATCATATAAAATCTAATGTTACAACTAATCGGGGATCTCTTTAAGTCCTGATAAGTTAATCCTTAGAACTGATGGGGAAATTATTTTTATTAAGACTGTAAAAACTCTCTTTCTGAAACAGACATTTTTTTTTAAAACTGAGCGTGGACTTCTTGATTTCACCTGTTTTCTGTTAGATGAAGCACAATGATGGAGTAGAGCAACGAGTAAGCACAGAGGATGAAAACTGGCTGCAGGTTCCTTCCTCAGGGTGATGATACATCTTTGAAAACAATCACATCTCAGCTTGAGGAAAAAAGAAGACTTTATCTGAATTTCAACCTTTAAGCGTTTTGACACCAGGAACATTTGGCTGAAACTTCACACAGATTCAAAAGCTTCTGATTCATACATTAGGGTACAACATAGAGACATTTATTTCTTGTTTCAATACCAAAAGCACATCACCCCCACCCCCATCCCCAATCAACCCCAAAAAAGCAACATTGTTCATTAGTAACTAAAAATGGAGAACAGACTAAAAAAATATCAGATTAACTGCTGTGATCTTTTTTCCCCTGTAGTCTCTTTGTTCAAACACCCAGTCAGTCAAATAATAATGCACAAGTGACTGTGTGTGAGTGCATCTGTGTGAAAATATTTTTTGTAATCAAAACAGAAATAAATAGGTTTCAAACACAGAGTGAGCATCTGAGCTGACTTTGTTCGTTCCTCTGGTTGGGTCATGAACACGGCCGGGGAGTTCGCCTTTGTGCAGAAACGCCCCAAACGTCCTGCCTTACTGCAAAGGGCAGTCGTGTAATTCTTGGCTGGGTAAGTTTTCCGAAGGCAAAAAGGGGTAAAAACGGCGATCGAGGTTTTTCCTTCGGCTGTTGCAGCTCGTGGACGTTCACGGAGCTGTTGTTACAAAATGTGACAGATTTCATACTCAACAGGAAATAAACGAAGAAAAAAAAGAGCAACATCATTCCTGCATTCTTCAACTTGGTCACTTTTTAAATTTCATATATTTATATTGATATATATTTATATATTTTATTTATATATTCTTTTTACAATTAAAAACCATGGATTTGACAGACTATTTGGTTTTTTGTCTAAATGTTTGACTTGTTTTGTAAATGAATGCATGTTTTTCTTGTCTCCATCCTGTCAGTCTGTGTAAAGGTGACCACTTGTATCCATACAGTATGCATATCATTAGGATTTTCAATGATATATATATATTTATATATATTTATATATAGAAATGTGCATTTATTGTTTGTTTTTTAATTGACATTTGCAGTCACAGATACAGAACACCAGGGTCTGTCAAAGAGAGTCAAACGATAAATGGACATCCTGAATCCTGTCTTTTCATTGGTCGTTTGGGCCCAAGTCTCTGTGTGATTGGCTGGAGCTGAGCAGTTGGGTTTGCGTGGGTCCGTTACAGCTCAGTCCTCCAGAACCTCCTGCGCTGAGGTTCAGGAAGCAAACAGTTTCCCGGGCCTCCAGCTGCACGACCGCCAGTCCGCTGCCTTCCTCCTGCTTCCTGTGGGCCAGCGCCAACGCTCGCAGCTGCTCCTGCGCCTCCTCCAGCAGCAGCGCCACCTCGTCCCGCTGCCGTCCAGCGGAGGAGGAGCCGAGGCCGTCCTCCCTCCTCCCCTGCTCTCGGGGGGTTGACATCTCTGTGGTTTCGGGGCTGGTTTGCATACAGGACACCTCGCTGCTGTGGTGCCCCTGGACGGAGGGGATGATGGGGATGGAGCGCAGCGGGGGAGGCGGGGAGAGGCTGTGGCGGCGGCCGGGTCTCCTCAGGCTGCGGGGGTTGGGCTGAGGCGGGGTCTCCATGGAAACAGGAGTTTGCATCTGCACGAAGGCATCTCGTCCGGAGTCGTTTCCCCGGTTCTCCGCCTGCGTGTCGACTCTGAGTGAAGACAGGAGGAGGAGGAGGAGGAGGAGGAGGAGGAGGAGGAGAGGAGAAAAGGTTATTGAACCAGAGAAAAACTTGCACTCTTCAGTCAGAAGAAAAACTCAGAGTCTCTGGTGTGTTCAGACTCCCACAGCCAGGCTGACAGAAGACACAGCTCTCCACCCTCTGCGTCTCCCAGGCTAACTGAGAGGCAGTTAGTCTGACATCTTTCTTTCATCACTTCAACCCCCCCCCCCACACACACACACACCTCCCATGTCGGTTTGTGTGTTTGTTTATTTGCAGTGTTAGCAACATTTCTCATGACTCACTGAGCACATCGTAGTGAAACTTGCAGGAAACAGTGTTGTATAAAGTACCACATACTTGAGTCATACTTGAGTAAAAGTACAAGTATCTTACCAAAAAATTACCTAGGTAAAAGTTAAAGTCTCCTTTAGTAATATTACTTGATTAAAAGTATTAACGTATGTGATATTTGTTGTAGTTAAGTATTAAAAGTCAAAGTCTAGATTTAAAATGAGCAGTTAGATTTTCTGTAAGGACATTTATTAGGAGGTGACCTCCCCAAAAACTGCAGAAATGACTGTTGTATTAAAAGAATGAATGGATGTTAAATTTAGGATGCACTAGTCCAGCTGTTTCAGTTTATATACATATATCAAGGCTGCACAAAGCTTTTCCCCAAAATGAAAATCTATCTGAGGGCTGCGGCCAAATGTAAGAATATAATTCATGAAATACAAATACTTCTTAAGTACAGTCCTTTTATTTGAATGATTCTGTCCTGCTGGAGTGTGACATGATTTGTTTGTGTACAAACTAATACACTATCAGAGTTTTATATATTTATACTTCTCATTCAACCACAGTTAAATTCACTCTATCTTGTTTATATGGATAGTTTTTATTTTTTTATGAAAACAAGCAAAAATGAAATAAAACTTCTTGCCTTTTTGAAAAAGTATAAGGAGTAGAAAGTACAGATAATTGTGTGAAAATGTAAGAAGTAGAAGCAAAAAGTAGACTGAACTCAAGTAAAGTACAGATACCCAAAAATTCTACTTAAGTACAGTAACAAAGTATTTGTACTTAGTTACTTTACAGCTTTGGCAGGAAGTATTTTCTGGATGAACCTGATTCACTGTCAGACTCAACCCTGTTCAACATGACCGCCAAATGAGTTGTAAACAGAACTAGTTTAGCTCGGTTAAATCTTTTTAACAGCTAAAATATGACAGAACTGTTCATTGATAAATCACTGTTTATGTTGTATAACACTATAATTGTTCCACATTTAATTTACTGTATTTACATCTGGGGTAAAGCTTGTAAAACTATCACAAATCATATTTTTATTTGACAGAAAAGAGCTCTAAGAATTATCACAAAGAATAACAGTCATCCATCATACTGTGTCATGATTTGAAATTATTAAAATTCTATGATTTGGTCGATAATAATATTTTAGTGTTAATGTACAGAGCTCATAAAGGTGTGTTACCTTCCAACATTCAGGTAAATTTTGTTAAAAGACAGAGCTGTTTTTATCTTAAAGGATTCAAAATGTTTGTGAAACCCTGGTTTGGTACGAGCCTGAAGGAGAGATCCACTTTAATCCAGGGAATAAGATTATGGAGCAGCCTGAAAGATGAGGTTAAAAATGACAGAACCTTGAATAAATTGAAGAGAATGATAAAAATATTATTCTGAAGAAATATGGAGAATTTTAAGTGAATTAATGCTAATTGTTGTTTTGAGTTGGTGTCTTAGATTTATCTTTGTTTTTAGTTTTTTATGTGTTTTCAGTTGTTTTGATTTTTGTTGTAATTTACTTTTAATTTTGAACATATTTTGAGTATAAAAATGGTTATATTATAAGATTTATTCTTCTGCTGCCTTTCATTTTATTTTGATTTTATTTTGATTGCATGTTTTTTTTGTGTGTAAATAATTGTTACAAATAAAATGAATAAATTATTTTAAAAAATGATGTGGTTGTAGCTGAGAGTGATCACTGACATTCTGAGACTAGAAAAACCTGATGTGGACTGAGTTGAATCTAACCAGTCAGGTGATTTTATCCCATCAGTCCTGCTGCTGGTTCCAGTTATTATACCCACACCATGGCAGGGCAGGGCTAACAAACCTTAAAACAAACAGCTATGGTTGTTTAATTTCTCCATTTTATTGTCTCTATAACCATTTTACTGTATGTAAAATTAGCACAAAAAGTCAGCAGATTAGCATTTGTTAAATTATTTATTTGTTGTAACAATTCTTCTTGACAGTAAACCTTAAAGCAGCACCTGACGGTCACAGAAGCTCAAAACAAGAATCAATAACAGCAAAATAAACTGTTTGACAGAGAAGATTTGTGCTCTACTTTTCATCACATTAATGCATGTTACTTACAAATGTGGCACCACTTAAAGGGAAAATTAACAGGCTTTCCAATCAAATTTATTGCCAAGGAGTATTTTTAAAGTGAAGAAATAATCTACCAAAACCACTAATATCCTTGCTTTTTGTGCTGTTTATATCCTACTGTATAACATTTGCTATCAGGTGTTGTCTTCACAGGCCTTGCAGAGCCACATCCACTAAATCTCTGTCCTAGCACAGAGACGTGAGGGGCTGTGGCTCCAGATCCTCGTGTCATTGCTCTACAGAACGTAACCTGTCAATCACCAGGAGAGCCACACCTATGGGTGGCATGGGGGGGAGGGGAGTGCCCCCCACCCCAACTCTAAAATATTGGTGGCCCCACCAGTTTTATCCTCTGAAGTCCCAAGCTTTGGCTTTGTGCTCATTTTAAATTTCCTCCTGCTATTTAGGATGATTAGAACCTTATAAATATAAAAACATTGTTTTTAAATGAAGAGTTCTGTTATATAT